TTTCAGGGACTCTAGACTTTCTGGAGCCATGGGAAGTGGATGAGCCCCAGAAACTACTACCCTGAGATAATCTTTAAACCTTAAACCAAAATATCACCTGAAGTCTTCTTAAAACCAAATAATAATTAAGCTGTTGCTGGGGATTTTTGTTGTCTTTTTTTTATTTTTATTGTGGTAATATATAGGAGCTTTGGTGGTGTAGTGCCTAAGGCATTTGACTGCTAACCAGAAGGCTGGTGGTTCAAACCCACCAGCCATTCCTTGGAAAGGAAGGTTGGGCAATCTACTTCCATAGTGATACTGCCTTGGAAACCCAAGGAGGGGTCGCTATAAATCAGATCTGACTCAATGGCAGTGGGTTTTTGGAATACATATATGTAACACAAAATTTTACATTTTAACCATTTTTTTTAATTTACCACTTGAACCATTTTTAAGTGTACAATTCCGAACATTCATGACACTTACCACATTTGCAACCATTACCGCTATCCGTTTCCAAAAGTTTTTCATCACCCCAAACAGAAACTCAGTACCCCTTAAGCAATCCTTTCCATTCCTCCCACCTCTCAGCCTCTGGTAACTATAATAAGCTTTTGTCTCCATGCATTTGATGGTGGTTTTTTTATGCACATTATGTTGCACATCTCAGTTTCTAAACTGAATTTGGGCCTGCATGAAGCATGTGGCTTAATAAAGTTCCTGGAGGGAATCGTAACCACGAGACACTGTGGTCATGCCAAACCAAAAAAACACAAGAACTGCTGCCATCCAGTCAGTTCTGACTTGTGGCAACCCGTGTGTGTCAGAGTAGAACTGTGCTCCGGAGGGTTTTCAGTGGCTGATTTTTCCAGAAGCAAATCACCAGGCCTTTCTTTTGAGGCATCACTGTAGAGTCAAACATTCAGCCTTTCGCCTAGCAATCAAGCATTTAACTGACAGTGCCACCCAGGGACTCCCCAGACTTAATCCTGCCCTTCTGCCTGCCATGTTTCTAGCTGAAAATAATGGATCTTGGGAGTCTGATTTTCAAAGTAGCACATTATTCCAGCACGCCTCCCATCTTTTCCAAAGGCAACTATTAGGAACCGTTTATAGGAGTTCCCACAGGTAACTGCCAAATGTTTTATGTGCAAAAAGCATCACACTGCACGCTGCACAGCCCAGAGGAAACTAGAGTTGCTGAGATAATAATGAAGGGAAACAAATGAGCCCATGGATATGTGGGAGACAACCCCTTCAGGTGGGAGAAACCCTCTAGAATTCACCGAAAAGCAAAAAGAAGTCATTCATTCACATGCCCTGGGTACGATTTCAGGGACCCCCACACACACCACCCTTCAGGCTACAGCTGAATGGAATTCAGTAGAATAACCAGTGCTTCAAAGAGGCTGTGCCCTTCAAAGCTGATGATGTTCCTGATTGTCCACTGATGGGAGAAATATGGGATCAGTGGGTCATTTTCTGGCACATTACATTATCTTTTATTCATTATACTATACGTGTAATATATTAACCCCCTGAAGTAGCTCCTGAGAGAGGGAATCTCAGAGAATATAAATCCTACATTAACTCTAGAACCAGCTGCCGTCAAGTCAATTCTGACCCCTGGCGACCCCATGCGTGCCAGGGTAGAATTGCGCTCCACAGGGCTTTTAATGGCTGTAATCTTGCACAAACCGATCATTAGGCCTTTCCTCTGCAGTGCCACTGGGTGGACTCGATCCTTCAACCTGTCTGCAGCTGATCCGATTAACCATCTGCACCACCCATGGATTCCTGGGAGCTCTGGTGGCATAGTGCCTAAGGCATTTCATTGCTAACCAGAAGGCTGGCTCCAGGTGACCCTCACCCTAACACTGGAGGATCTAGTCTGAGGCCAAGATAAAACAGCTCGAAAAGTCTCTGCTCCAAAATAAACCACCTGGGTGAGATGGGCCAGAGAACTAGGCTTTGAATGTCACAGCCCAATCCTGACCTTTCTCTGCTCGCTGTGGTTTCTCCCTCATGACCTCTTTCTCCCTCTCTGTCTGCCACCCAAAGCCGAGCCAGGTGCTGCTGACATTCGTGGAAGACGAGGGAATCTCCAGGTGGGGTTCAAGGCCTGAGGTACCAGCTCCTCACAAACACAGCTGTGACTCACTGAGTTCTGAACAGGTTTAAAGCACTTGTGCCCCTCTCTTCCTTTGATCCTAGGCCCTCTCTCGGCCTGGGCCACCCTACTTCCACTCCCCTGCCCCCTGCCTCCGTGTGTGTCCTCAGGAAGCCCTAGTGTGATTTCTTGGACTGACTTCCTGGTACTAAGTGAAACTTCAGGGCCACATCCTCCCAACTTGGCTGAGGACCACGTACTCTGATCTGCCTAAAGCACAGGTCCTCTTCGAGCATCCCAACTTTCCTATGCTTTTTCCCTCTGGGTTCAGGTCATTCTAGTGTTTCTGTCCTGGGGTCTTGAATGTTGTGTCCATACACTGCAACCACCCTCTCACTCTCTCTTTCATGTCAAGTCCCCTCCTCCCCTCAGGCCAGCCAGACCCTCCTTCAGCCCCACTGAGGGGTAGTTGTTGTTAGGTGTCGCTGAGCCAATTTTCGAGGCATAGTGACCCCATATGACAGAACAGAACTGCTCCAGAGGGTGTCCTAGGCTGTGACCTTTACGGAAGCAGACTGCCAGGTCTTTCTCTTGTGGAGCTGCTGAGTGGGTTCAAACCACCAACCTTTTGGTTAGCAGCCCAGTGCTTAACCATTGTACCACCTAGGCTACTTGACAGTATCCTGTTCAGAACCACACAATGAGCCAGAGCCAGTGTCCTCCAAGCAGACCACAGGGCTAGCATCTGTCCTAGTTGGTTCAGAGAAGGTAACAGGCTGACAGAGAAAGCAGATACTGGAATCAGAGTTGGTCTTGGCCTGGCTTTGTTGTTGTTGTTGTTATGTGCTGTGGAGTTTTAGACCTTGCTAAACCTCACTGTTGTTAACACTGAGGAAGCTGGGAAGGCAGTCCTGAGATTGTCCAGCCTGGCCCAGTTTCTCCAGTTACTTCTTTGAGCTCTCTCCAGAGCGACTGTTTCTGAGCCATTGACTCAGCAGCCCTCAGTCACTGGGCAGTTTTGCTTTGTTAGAAAATGCCTGATTTAAGAGCACATGTGCTCATTCGGACCCATAACTGAGCCCCCAGCCCATCCCGCTGTGATGCAAACATGTTGCCACCAGCTTAAAAAAGAAAGCAGCACTGAGTTGACTCTGATTCGTGGATGCCCGATATGTGTCGGGGTAGAACTGTGCTCTACAGGGTTTTCATTGGCTGGATTTTTGCAAGCAGATTGCCAGGCCTTTCTTCTGAGGTGCCTCAGGTAGACTCGAACCTCCAACATTTTGGCCAGCAGCAGAGTGCATTAACCATTTGTATCACCTGGGGACTTCTGCCCACCTGACCAGCATGACTTGCCATGAAATCCCTGAACCACAATCTGGAGAATATGTAGAGGGAAATGGCAAAGAGCTGCTTTGCAGACCTAAACCTTCCCCATGGACCCTGCTTTAGGCACTATGCTACCAGAGCTCCTAACGGTAGCTAAATCCCTGCTAAGGCATTTGACTGCTAATCAGAAGGCTAGCAGTTCAAACCCACCAGCCACTCCTCAGAAGGAAAACTGGGCAATCTACTTCCCTAGAGATGCTGCCACAGAAATCCAAAGAGGGGTCACTATGAGTCCAATCAACTTGACAGCAGTGAGTCTGGGTTTTTGGTTTTGTTGCATGACCCTGGACAGGGTTTATCTTACCTCTGTGTCTCATTTTGCTTAGCTGGAAAATGGGATGATAATAGTGTCTACTTCACAGGGTTGCTATGACAAATAAATAAGTGGATACATGTGAAGTGCCTAAAAGAGTGCCTGCCACATATGAAGCGCTACAAGGATGCTGGTGCTGGTGACAAGGAAGATGACAACAATTACAAAGGCAGGATAAAAAGTATCCCAAGCTGTTTAAACACATGCTCCATCCTGGTGACACCAAGCTCAATGATAATAGTACTTACTGACCATGGCCATTGTCCCATTTAACCCTCACAACTCAATGCTCTTAACCTCTACTGAAAATTGCATCCGAATTTTCAGGTGGAAACAGAAATATGGGTTTTGTCACTCACTGTATATTTCAAAGGGAGTCCCAAACAGTTAACATGCTCGGCTCCAAAAAGGTTGGAGGTTCAAGTCCACCTAGAGACACCTTGAAGAAAGGCCTGGAGATTTACAAAAAACCAGCTGCTGAAAACCCTGTGGAGCACAGTTGTACTCTGACACCCACAGGCTGGCTATGAGTTGGAATCGACTAAACGACACCTCAGCCCAATTAATAAAGAATGTTTGCCTCAAGCATAACCTACCCACTGCCATCAATTCGATTCCAACTCACAGCAACCCCCACTGGGTTTCCAAGGCTATAAATCTTGATGGAAGTAAGCCTCATCTTCCTCCTGTGGAGCAGCTGGTGGGTTTGAATCACTGAGCCTCTGATTAGCAGCCAAATGCCTTAGCCACTAGGCCACCAAAGCGCCTTGACTCCAGCATAGAGCTCTTATAATTACCTGTATGAGTTTAAGCTGACAACAGCTAATCTCAAGCACAGGTGAGAACCTTAAGGGGCAGAAAGCCTAAATGAATGGTGATGAAACAATATGGGTAGAGACAGTGAGAGTGGTTATAAAACATGAAGCATGTAACCAGTGTTAATGAACTGTCCATGTAGAGATTATGAATTGAGGTATGTTTGGTTGTACTTATTGCCACCAAAAATAAATGCAATGTATTTTTTCAGAACCCTGTGAAGCCCATTCTACTCTGACACAGATGGGGTCACCATGAGTCAGCGCTGACTCAACAGTAACTAGTGTGGATCATGGGTCATAGGCATTATCTTTTGCGGGACAGAAGGAAGGAGCCTGGGTTGCTCTTTGTTCATTTTTGCTAAAGCAAGATGGCAGGGCTGGCTCTTACCTGCGCGGTGAAGAAGGCAGGGGTGAGGGATCCTGAGGGCAGGGCAGGGCTGTTGAGGGCGATGGAACCAATGTCGGTGCCCGACAGCACCAGTGGGGGTGCACAGATTTCCAAGCCTTTGGGTTTTTTGGCCTTTGGGGGAAGAGATGGAGACTTGGTCTTGGAGCCCGATGACAGGTTCAAGGGCTCCAGGGAATCCGAGTCATGGCAGGCGGCCTCCAGGAAGAAGCTTCTGTGTTCAGAAGGGAGGGGCGAGTTTGGGGACAGGGACGGGGACCGAGATGAGGAGGGCGAGGTGGAGGAAATGCTGGCAGCATTTGGCAGCATTAGGGAGGAGATCTTGGCGGAGACGGACGAGGCCAGGTAGGCAGATGCAGCTGCAGCCTCAGACGTGGAGGGCAGAGACACCACGGGCCTGGTGACATGCTTGCTGGTTTTATTGGTCACAAATCTGATGACAGTCCTGACCTCTTCCACAGGAGGGCTGTCTTCGGGCTGTTCCTCCAGCTTCTCTGTCTTGATTGCCTTGAAAGTATCTGGAGGGTTCTGCAGAGAGTTGATGGTGAAAGACGAGTACAGGCCTGAGTGGATGTATTCGTTGCGGCTTGTGCTTTTGAAGGCTGACAGGCTGTGTTTGTGTGCCTCGCGGCCCTCAGGGACCTTACAGTCTCTGTCCTGCAGCAAAAGGCTCTCCCGGCTGATCTCCACCGCGTGCGGATCCATCTTCAGTATCTCCGGGAAAGAGACAAACTTGTACACAAACTTCTGCCCAATCACCTTCTTGATGATGTTCTGTGAATACAAAAGTGGACAATTACAGTATTAGTACACCACAGACACAGAGGAATACAGTCATTATAGTGGTGAGTTCTGGCAGCCCACGCACCAAAATATTCCTGATATCCGCATCTTTGTTAAAGTGTCGTGGAAAAAGGAACGAGACACAGAAGAACTAGGTTTGCGTTTTGATTCTGCCCATTACTAGTGGTGTGATCTTGGGCAGAATGACTGCCATTTTTACTTTTCTTATCTGTAAATAGGAGCTCTGGTGGTGTAGTGCCTAAAGTATTTCACTGCTAACCAGAAGGCTAGTGGTTCTAACCCACCAGCCACTCCTTGGAAGGAAGATTGGGCAATCTATTTCTGTAGAGATGTTGTAGTTATGTGCCGTCGAGTCAGACCCGACTCATAGCAACCCCTCCTTGGGTTTCCGAGGCAGTATCACTACGGAGGTAGATTTCTAATCTTCCTTCAGAGGAGTGAGACGCTGCCTTGGAAATCCAAGGAGGGGTTGCTATGAGTCGGATTCAACTCGATGGCAGTGAGTTTGGTTTTTGGTTTTATCTGTAAAGGGAGTTCCTGAGTGGTGCAAGCAGGTAACATGCTTGGCTACTAACAGAAAAGTCGGAGGTTTGAGTTGATCCAGAGGTACACTGGAAGAAAGGCCTGACAACCTATTTCCAAAAGATTCCAACCTTGAAAACTCGGTGGAGCACATCTCTACTCTGACACACATGGGGTCGCCATGAACCAGAATGGACTCAATGATAGTTGTGTTTTTACTGGTAAAATAAGGACTATTATACCTAGACATATACTAAAAGTTGCCATTTATTAAGCACTTAATATGTGGTAGCATAGTGCCTAAGGCACTTGACTGCTAACCAGAAGGCTGGCGGTTCAAACCCACCAGCCACTCCTTAGAAGGAAGGTTGAGCAATCTACTTCCGTAGTGATACTGCCTCGGCAACCCAAGGAGGGGTCGCTATGAGTTGGGTCCGACTCGACAGCACATAACAACAACAACAACAACAACAACATGTGGTTAAGGAGCTCTGGTGGTGTAGTGGGTAAGATACTTGGCTGCTAAACCAGAAGGTTGGCAGTTCAAACCCATCAGCTGCTCCATGGGAAGAAGAGGGGGCAATCTACTTCTGAAAAGATTTACAGCCTTGGAAACCCAGTGTGGGTCGCTATGAGTTGGAATCAACTCGATGGCAGTGGGTTTTTTTTTTTTTTTTTAAATATGGTTGGCATTATTCCTACATTGTCTCATATAAAACCAAAACCAAACTCACTGCCGTCGAGTCAATTCGACTCATAGCAACCCCTCCTCCGTTTTCCGAGGCAGTATCTCTATGGAAGCAGATTGCCCAATCTTCCTTCTGAGGAGTGGCTGGTGGGTTTGAACCGCCAGCCTTCTGGTTAGCAGTCAAGTGCCTTAGGCACTACATCACTAGAGCTCTTATCTCATAAAACCTGTACTAAATCTGTAATCCTAAAAGGACGATCCTAGTCTGCCCAGTTTAAGAATTAGGAAAATATGCTGGGAACGGTTCAACAACACACACAGCTGTACGTAGGTAAGTGTTAGAGGCAGCATTTCCTTAAGCATAACACAGTATATTCTCTCACCAACCCCTGGGAGTTGTGAGAATTCAGAGAAATAATAATGTGAAAATATTCTGTAAGCTGGAAAGCATTATAGAAATGTAAGTCATTATCACCACAGCATTTGCTGATATCATGTAACCGTTTCTTTGTTTTAATTTTCGGCCAAGAAAGTCACTGGAGGAAAAGTAACTTGTCTGCTCGGATCTTGACAGCATTGATATGGGATTCTAAGTTGCTGGTATCCACTTCTGGCTCTTAAGTTTATGGCTCCCGCCCTCAAACGTTACGATGTAAATGAAAAATAATAATCAATGCTAACGCTTCCACACCACACCCCTTCGGGAGAACAGACTTTAACTTAAAGGCTGTACTGTTCTCGAAGTTTATAAAATTGATATGTTAGCAAATATCTACCAAATGCTTGCTGTGGGCCTCACTATGCTTGACTCAGATCCCAGGAGCTGAAGGGAGACATCAATGGTTCCCCTGAAGAACAAAGAACTAGCGCCATCCCGTGGGAAAAGGCCCTAGAATGTTTGCTTATAAACACTTTCCCTGAAAACCTGGTTATGAATCAGGGCTAAAAAAAAATAGAATTCATTTGGAGGGGAAGAGTTTTAGAAACAGCAGTGATTGAGCACTTCTTTTGTGCGGGTGTTTTACGCAAGACGTCCTTATCAACTCTCTTGTAGGGTGGAAGCAAGCATCCTTAAAACAAGCCCAAGCTTAGAAAGAGGGGGTCATTTGCCCAAGAACCAGACATCTACCCGTTGGTTCTAAAGACTAAGCTTTCCAAATTTCCATGTGGATTTGGGGAGTGAATCAAAGAACCCCAAGTAGAAACAAAATTTAATCAAATGTTGATCTGCCTTTTGTGATCACAGTTTGGGTCATAAATATATCACGTTTTTGCCAACCCCGTTACATTACAAACCAGTTGCTGTTGAGTCGATTCCCTGACTCGTGGCAATCCCACATGTGTCTAAGCGGAACTGCGCTCCACAGGGATTTTTGTGGCTGAGTTTTCAAAAGTAAATCACCAGGCCTTTTTGCCAAGGCCACTGTGGATGGACTCGAATCTCCCACCGTTTGGTCAGCAGACAAGCGTGTGAACTGTTGGCACCACCCAGGGGCCCCCTTGTTCCATCACAGCATTCCAGTTTGCCTTTCCTCCCTCACATAAATCATCATATCCCAGGAGAGAATTTATCTTGTGGTTGGGAGAGAAAGGCATATTGGCCATGTCACTGAGATTTAAGAAGGAATTCCTCAGGGTGGCCATCTAAGGCAGGGACACACAAGGAAAGAGGAAAAAGAAACAGTGTGGTCAAAATCATTTCTTCTGACTGGTCTTTATAAACTAATCACAAAAAAAAACTTTAATATTTTTGTGGCTATTCGGAATATAATGTATAAGCAGGGATTACATTCATGAAAGAACCAAGAAAGAATCTGGAGCTGTGACAAAAATGGTAAAAAAAAAAAAAAAAATGCCTCCTCTCCTCAAAAAACGGTTGATAACTGAAAGGCAATCTCAGCTAGAGGGCTGGGCCTTTAGAGCATGCAACTCACACACCCATCAACTAGTAACTCAACAAACAAAAAGTGGTCTATCCATACATAATACTACACAATGCTATTCAGCTGTAAAAAGAAATGAAGTACTGAAACATGCTACCACATGGATGAACCCTGAAAACATGATGCTGAGTGAAAGAAGCCAGACACAAAAGGCCACATATTGTAGGACTGCATTTAGATGAAATGTCCAAAACAGCCAAAGGTATAGAAACAGGAGACAGATTAGTCATATCCTAGGGTTCAGGGGGCAGATGGGAGCTTTAGAGGCAGGAGAAAGAGCTGAAAGGTATGGGGTTTCTTTTCAGGGTAATAAAAATATTCTAAAATTTATTGTAGTGATTTATACTCCAAGCCACTGAACTGTACACTTTAAATGGCTAACCTGTGTGTTACATGAATTATATCTCAATAAACCTGTTAAAAAGCATGAACAATCTTAAATATTTTACATGTTTAACAGGAAGACAATGGGAATTTTCCAGAATGCAAATGCCATGACGTGTTAAACCCTCCTCTGAGTACAATGAGAAAGACAACAAGGACACTGAGTTCTTGTGGGGTAAGAAGGGCCCTTCTCTTCACCGGGATGCCAAGAGAGCTTCTAGGGTTACACAAGGTCAGGTGGAAGGGACACGGTTTAGAAAGCCCACCCAAAGGAGGAAGCAATTGTTTTAGGAAGAACCAGGGCAGGTATTGTCTCTCTAGAGACCAACTGGAAAGATGGATTAGATCTGGCAACCAAGACAAGAGGAGTCCTGATGATGATTAAGTGCTAGGCTGCTAACCAAAAGGTCAGTGGCTCAAATCCACTCAGCCGCCCCACAGAAGAGAGACCTGACACTCAGCTTCGATCATAGCCAAGAAAACTCTGTGGGGTGGGTCTACTCTGTCACAAGGGGTCACTATGACTTGGAATCAAGTCAACGGCATACACCGCCACCACCAAGACAATCTGAAACCTCTGCAGGGGTTGGAGATGGAGTTAAGCAAGAAGAGGGTAAGGTGTGATGGGGAAGCAGCTCAGAGTGACGCAGCCCTGTATGGGTGGGTGCCCAACTCCACACAAGGTATCTGCTCACAGGAGGGGAGCTGGTTAGGAGAACCTCCCCACCCCCTCCAGGATGCCCACAGCTGCACAAACAGGCAGTTAGGTGGTGTGCACTTCTTAGCTTCTAGGACACAGCTGAGGAGCATACTGACGGCAGGTATGTTTGAAGATCTCTTTGTGGTTTCTGAAGGAAGTTTCCTTCCAAGAGTTTGTGGGGGGTCTATAAGAAAACTGACCGTGTAAGGGAACAGTAATAGGTATTATTTGCTGTGCACATATTATCTGTTAGGCTCTGCACTGTGAACTTGACAACCACCAACTCACTGATTCTCTAGGAGGGTGAACTATTATTGTCCCCATTTCAGGGATGAGCAAACTGAGGCTCAGAGAGCATAAGTTATCCAGGGTCATAAGCTAGTACTAAGAAGAGCTGGATGTACCTCCCCTAGGCAGTCTGACTCCAGAGCTCTTGGCTACCCTGCGGTAGGTAGGTACAGGAACTTGGACTAACTTGGACAGCCCAGAACATGGGAGAACTTAGGCAGGGCTTTTATTATGATAAGCAATGAGGATGCTTAGAAAAAGTCTGGTTTTCACCCCTTGATTCCCAGACACACAAGTATTTGTTGCTTATAGTTGCCTGGTAACCTGACAAATGCTTGTCTGTGTCCAGTTGAGCTAAGTGACTCTCCAGAGTGGTTTTAGAGACAGTTGCACACATCTGCTTCCCTTTACATACAGTAGACCAGCCTCTTCATTCGTGATTTCC